GTGGTCTTTGCTTTCAATGGCTGGCAGCTCCTACTGAGGAACTGAACTAGAGATCTGAATGCATAACTTGGGCATTTCAGGTTTTAACAACTCAGAAATACCTTAGCAGATCCAATTTAACAGATAGACACGCAGCCTTTTGATGGAAGCTCTAGCTTGTGTCTGGACAGGGGCTGATCTGTGCTTGAGACTGTGTAGCACAAGTTGGAATATACACACCCCGACACTGGAAGCAAACTGCTTGTGTTACCACCCAGCAAATACAGGCAGAGGAATGATGCTGGTGTTGCAGACTGTGCTACTTTACATCTTCAGGATTGTTTCTGCAGTTGCTATGAAGCTGCTAGTGCATCATCGTCAACGTGACAGCCCTCATCTTGGTCTGTCAGTGGTGGTGGAATTAGGTATCTGCTCTAACATCTTTATCCTCTCTTCTTTTTCTTCCTTCAAAAATGTGGAGTCTGTAGAAGGGAGAATCGTAAGGCACTGGTATAAGATTTTTCTCTGTTATTGATCTCCTACAGATTGTTTTAGTCTTCACAGCTGCTAAAAACTTTTACTACTTCTATGTCATGGAAGTGGCCACACCATTCTGAAATTTAAGAGTACATCTATAGAAGATGTATTATTTACTGGTAAAATCACTAATATACTTTCCTGATGGACAGCTGAGGAGTGATAAGCAAAATGTGTCATAAAGGCAGTAGAAAAGGATGGAAAAGCAAATGTCTGATGATTTTAACTGTAAAAAAAAAACAAAACAAAACAAACAAGATTTGCCCACCTAGCTCAGGACAAAATGGCTTGCAGATAGTAACAAACACTACTTCTAAGAGGCATGGTCCTGCCTGCCTGAAGATAGAAAGCACAAACAGATGTAGTACTACAGCATTTACTGTTTCTGTAAATGCGCTTTGGATGTCATTAGTATCTTCTTTCCCATGCCATTGTAAGCACTGCGCTTGAATATAGTCAGGGGAACAACAGTCCACTGCTTTCTGAGAATCCCAGATAAGCACCAGTGAATCCCTTACCAGAGTATTACGTGAGGTTCAAGCACTGGGGTGTTTTCCCAGAATTTTAATCAGTGCTTGTTTGTTTTCTGTGTACTTAAAGACACTCACAAAGCTGTGGATAGTCTGGCTGCTTTCAGAGTGCTCTGTTAGAAAATCCCAGCTCTTAAGCTTATTTGCCAGCTATATTGCAGCAAAGAAACAACCTTTCCCAAAATTATGAAAAAAATGAACAATGAACAGAATCAGAGATGATCCTGAGGATCAAAAAGAAGTGTGAAAGTAAAAATGTATTGACAAAATGAGCTGGAATGAGAATGCTGCAGTCCAGCTTTCCTGTCATGCTAGCCTGGAGCAAGTTCAGAGAAAAGGCAGAGTGAAAGACACTGGGGTTGGGTTTTTTGTTTGGTAGGGCTTTTTTTGTTAAATCTGTTTTAACAGACTGTACTACATTTCTTGCCATTGTCAGGGGCTTACAGCAGAAGGTGAGATTGCTTAAATGTTCCACTCAGAAGTTCACTGTGTCAAGTGTTGTTCTGTTGTAAAGTAATAATGAAAATGGGACATGATTTGTCAGATGAAAATGGGAGACAATTCCCTGGTTTGTATTTTTGGTATTGCGTGCATATAATAGTAGAATGGAAAATCCGCAGTCCTACTGAAGACTCTATATGTCCTGCAACCACTAGATTTAAAAAAAAAAAAAAAGAAGAAAGCTATATATAAAATTATACATGATCTGAGACCTGACAGTGTGCCCAACTTGTGTGTATTACAATGTCCTTTGCATGGTGAGATTCTTCGCCAGCCATGAAGAACATAGCTATATGTGTTCCACGTGATTTCGTAGCATTACGCAGTATCTGAATTTGGAAGGGGCCTTTGGAGATCATGCAGTTGACCTCTGTGCTCAAAGGAGGGTCAGCTTCATGTTAGATCCACTTTTCAAATTGCAGGTTGCTCAGGAGAACTCAGCTAAGTGAGTGCTGAGTGTTTTCCCAGCTGGAAGTTTGGCAGCCTCTCCAGGCATCCTGCTTCAGCACATGGTCATCCTCACGGTTAAAACTGCTGTTCTTTGTACCAAATAGGAATTTCCCCTGGTCCAGCCGATGTTCATTGCCTTTTGCTCTTTTTCTGAGCATTTTTGGGATGAGTGACTCTGTCTTCTCTCTAACTACTACTTAGGTGGCTGAAGACAATGATTAGATCCCTCTTTAGCCTTCTCTTCTTCCAGCTAAATGAACTGAATTAGCTCAGGTTCTTCTCATATATTGTATACTTCAGAACCCTAATAGTTTCGGTGAGCCTTTGCTGAACTCACTCCAGTTTGTCACTGTTTTTCTTGTACAGGGGACCCCAGAAGTGGACACACTACTCTGTTTGGTTTTTTTTAGTGACTTGAGTTGAAAAACTTCTATTTGACTGCAAGACAGCTGGAAAACTCCCCTGTATTTCCAGCACACAAAGGGTGTATACTATTGATAAGTTATCTGCCAATAAGATTTATAAACAAAAAGAGGAGTCGATGGTATGAGCTAAAAATGTTCTTCCTACTTCTTTGAAGATATAGTCAGGAAACCACATGAAGATACGTGTTTGAGGAAAAGTCATGTTTGTAGCAGGGCCACGCTGCCTGAGCCAAACTGTGTCCAGTCCAAGTTTTGAAGTTGCAGGTTGTTCTCAGAGACACATTAGAAGAAGTCTACATTGAGGAAAGTCTAAATTCTTCTCTTTTCACAGGGCTTCAAATCCTTGCAGGAGCATATAGTCATGCCCATGTGCTCACCTTTTTCAGTCATGTCTTGAATCTTTTGCTAGTAAGATGTTCTACCTATTCTTTGCTTCTCTTGCACCTTTACTGTGGCATTTCCATAATGAAGGCTGCCAGGCAGCTCCTGTAGCTCTCTGTATTTATTTAAGAGCATCTTTTCCAGCCAATCTAACGGAGACCTAAAACCAAAGTTATTCACCTAGTTAATGCAATGTCCGCGGTAAAAGGTTTGAGCAAAGAAAGAGCTAATGATCTCTTGAGATATGGTCCACCTGTAAACTTCTGTGTATTCCCTTTTTATCTCTGTGTCTTAAATGGAAAACTGGAGGGAGTTTCAAGATAGTTGCTCATTTTTGATGTATTAAAAGCTTGATAGGAAGACTGAGTAAAATACATACTACTTCTAGAGGAAGTATGGCTACATTAGGAAAATTCGTAAGTGGACCACCTGTCCAAAAGGTATGTTTTAGCTGTTGAGAATGGCAGCTCAAAAGCTGATCATATCTGCTATACTCAAGCCTAACAACTATCTACTTGGTGTCCTTAGGAATACCAAAAGGATGATTAGTATGTGAATATCCTTGTTCAGTATCTTCTATGAAGTTATTGCAACACAGCAGTAAGTCTTCTGCAAGAAAGCCCTCAAAATAAAGGGTCTGTATTGGGAATCTCTTCATGGAGACTTCTGTTAAACTATCCCTTATACAAGTGAGTACACAGAAGATAACACTGATGTCCTTTTAGATTCCAGCTGCTGACTGTGCAGTACAGCACTGGTGATGCTAGCTGGCTTCAGTCAGCCTTTCAGTGCACAATAAAGCGTGTGTGCATAACTAGGCACCTTTCCACATTTGAAACGTCACGTATTTATAACATAGCCATCTGCCAGTAAAAAATGTGCAATTCTTTATACACAAGTTCTTTTTTGTGTTTTGTAGCCACAGTGTAACTGACTAAACAGGGTATTGGGAGCTCAATAAGATATAGCCTTGCTTCTCCAGAAAATGCAAGTGCATAGCTGGAAGCCTTAAACTGCATAGCAAACCAGTACCTGAGATGCCATTCAGAATATATGCAGTGTCATTTGCCCTGTCCCTCTAAATTTAGGAATCCATGAGAACATGCATCAAAAAAATCCTTCCAGTTTACTTCCTTCTTCATTCCTTGATCATTGAAGTAATGATGTAAACTGCTCTAGTAAATCATAGGATTGTGAAGATAGGACAGCGAATCCTCAGTGCCATTTGTGGGTTTTAGAGCATCTGAATAAAGTTTTTGGAGGATGATTTCTCTGTCTTTTCTACCTAGGAACACTAGGGACCAAATCCTCTGTGCTTCTTTATTTTGCTGTTCCAGAAAAGATAAATTTTACAAGCTTAAATTCCCATACTGTGGTGGCATGGGATCCTTCCACATGCCAGAAGCATGAATGAGATCGGTATAAATACTGAGGGTAGAATAAAGGATCACTCATATTCTGATCTGTGAAAGCATCTGAACATGTGCTAGGGGTTTACTAAAGTCAGCAAGAGTTAAATACGTGCTTAAGAGTTAACCAAGAAAATACTTGTCCATGCTGAACTGGGAGCTCCATGGTAGAAGGAAAAGATTATACCCAACCCTTTGAGGATATTTCTCTGTGGTATAACACTTCTTGCTTTGAAGAAATAAGATGTAAGATATAGCCTCAGTGCCTCACAGCCTCCTTTTAGGGCATGTCTATAAGTGTATCTTTAAAGTGAAAGCATATCCTTTTCTGATTTTGATGGGCTTACCAAAGTAACAAAATGAGGAAATAAGAAAAAGACTGAAATGATCTTTTTAACATCAGTTAATTAAAATGCTCATTTCCTCCTTATTTTTTCCTGCGTTTTTCCAGAATTTATTTTAAGGTTCAAGAAATACAAATATTGCCTCTTTTATGAGTTTGTCATTAATATGCTTTTTTTATAGTTTACATTTCTAGGTAGAAAACAGTTCCCAAAATGTTAGGTATGTTTCTAAATACTGTCTGTTCTATAGATTCTCTATATCTCAGGTTTAAAAAAAAAGTGAAGTAATCTTCATCTGCAAATATACGATGGTTATCAAAATGCATTGCTTCTTGATTAGAATATTGGTTTGTTCTGACCACTGGATGGTGTAAATGTCTGCAGGTACATATGTCTGCATGGGAATATAGTGACACAGTCAAATACTATTTTTCCGAACAACAGATATTTCCTGGACTGATTCTCTCGGACATTAAGCCTGCCAAAAGAATGAAGTTCAAGACAGTCTGCTACCTGCTCGTTCAGCTCATGCACTGTCGTAAGATGTTCAAAGCAGAGATCCCTTTCTCCAATGTCATGACATGTGAGGATGACGATAAGGTAATCCATGTGGGCTCCTTGGGCACTGGTTCTGGGGCTCCATCAAGTAGACCTGCTCTGAGAACGTACGGGGTGACCTGACCAACTGATAGAGGATTTTCTGGTGTCCCTGCTGAAGCTAGAGCTATCTGATGCCCACAGCCTTCTCATAGTATAGGCAAAACTTAATTATAGCAGGCCTCAAATTTGGTGCTCCTCTGGAACAAGCCAGCACAGCTGGCCTATGGGGCTTCTATTAAGAGATTCCTTCACAGGAGTTAGAGTTTCTGAGGCTTTTTCTGCAATTACTAAGAGATGTTTTCTTTTGCATCATGAGTGAGTCACAGTCTGAAGCTGATGGCAGCAAATGCAAAACAACAGAATAATTCTGTATCTCTAGATGGTTCTCCAAAAAAATAATGGCATCTGATTAGCCAAAAAAACCTTTAGTCCCTAATACAGGTATGAGTACCACTTTCTTGAATGGCTTGTAGTGCCATAACTCAAAATGGCTTTACACACTAGTAGCCTGTTTACTTCCTTTTCTGTGTGTGGATCTCCCCAGAAATTTATGGAGAAAAAACTTTCAAAGAATTGTTCACTCCATTTTCTGTGCCAGCAGGTGGCAATATTACATAGGTCACTCCACCAGTGCTCAAAAGCAGGGGATGTGTACCTTGGAATCAGTAATTAATCTTGACTGTTTGCTCTCCTTTTTTTTTTTTTTTTTTTTTAAATAAGATGCATTTATTGATGATTCAGTCTAAATCTTACTTTCAGGAAGCTTTCTAACTGTTGTGTTTTGGATTTTACATGTGCTTATGTTCTTCTGCGGGAAAAGGGGAGAAATGTCTGTTAGTTTCTTTAAAACATTGTTTCAATGAAGCCTTTCAGAAACTCCAGATTTGATTTTGAAATTGGCTATGTACAAGTCCTTCCAATTGTGAATTAGTACTGTTCTTTGAGTATTTAAAAAAAGTAAACCACACATTCTTCGAAGCTTATGCAATACTTACAGTGTGTCATGTATATGTGTATATATAAATATGGTAGTATACACAGAAAGTCTCGATAAGGGTTTGCTAGGGATCTGATGAAATGTCAGGACATTTGCAGTGAAATTCTATGATACAGTCTTTAACTGAACCAGTTGTTCTGAGCTTTTGTACCTAATATGTAACATTTATTGCGGAACATGATATATGATTTTAATATAAATACACTGTGTTGCAATGCAGTGTTTCTTTGGAGATACCAGTCCTCAAATCATGTAAAACACATTGTGGCTATAAAGGCTCTGAAACCAGCATGTTACTGTAGCATGTATTTATTTATTTAATTTCTGAGAAATAGAAATACTGGATCTTGGTCACAAATAAGAGATAATGTAAGTCTACTGTGCGAAACAATAATAGAGATAAAAATAAGAGACCGAGTGAAAATAATTGTAAGTGAGCAACAGGTATTTTGATTAAGCACAGTAACTTTAACCTGATTTCAAAATGGCAGAATAGATAATATAATTTATTGCATATATCGGAATAACTCCTATCATCTACTCGCATTGCAGATTTTAAAGCAAAGAAACGTTTTCTTTCTTTAAATGCTGTTTTTCTCACTTCTGTTATGCTATAGGCTTAAATTTGGATTATAAGAAATCCCCAAAGATGTACTTTCTGCTGCACCTTTAGCAATACATATGCTAACTACTTGTTGTTTATCTTTATGAAGAGCAAAACTATATGTTCCTGAAAATATT